GTAGGCACACATTGAGGAAAGCACCCAACTGCGTCACAAGACAAGCACTCACATGGAATCCTCAAGGCCAAAGGAAAAGAGGAAGACCAAAGAACACATTACACCGGGAAATGGAGATAGATATGAGAAAAATGAACAAGAATTGGATGGAATTAGAAAAGAAGGCTCATGACGGAGTAGGTTGGAGAATGCTGGTCGGCGGCCTATGCTCCATTGGGGGTAACAGGCGTAAGTAAGTAAGTAAGTAATGATCATTATAATCAAATAAATTAGTAATCTTTCAAAAAACTATGTACATTAATTTTAATCTTATTATTGGAAAGAATTATCATCTATTTCATTCGAATTATACACAAGAAGTCTCAAAACAAGTACAATGATATGCTATTTAAAATTAACATAAAGGAAACAATCTATTTTACAGATTATATAGTATATTTTGATTCATACTCTCCTATAAATACTAAACATATTTGCGTAGTATTATTAAATGTTTAGAATTTTTTTATAGTTACTTTATTCTGAATAGGTAATCAAAAACTCAGTTTCTAAAGAAGATTACCATGATATTCCTACTTCACAACAATTATCGTTTCCTGAAATGCATAAAATCACATGAAATAATAGATGTTAAAATTATTATTATTATTATTATCACCCTGTAAAAATAAGTATATATATATTTGCGATTGTACAACTTTGAAAATGAATTCGCCGAAAAAAAGAACTCTTTGCTGAACTAATCTTTCTTTCTTATTTAATGTCATAATGGGTGTATTCCGTTTGTCAAAATAATCGTCTTCGTACAAAAGTTGTAAAGACAATAAAATATGTATATATAGTAATATGAAATAAGTAATCATTACTACAGTTTTGAGAATTTTACCATAATTTGTTAAAATATAAAATGAGAAATGTGTAACAAAATTCTTAATTTCAGCAATCAACATTAAAAGAACACAAAACAAAAGATTATAAAGGAAATGAATAGATTACATTGAAATATCACAAAACTCTTAATAATGATATGTACATTATATTGGATGATGTGAAGTATTTAACGAAAGTTTATTACAGATTGAATTGTACGATTAAAAGAAATGATTTAGATATTACGCAAGCGATGATGTTTCCAATATAAACAGGTTCTATCATTTTCATTATCATTATTATCATCATCATCATCATCATCATTTTACATGTGCTTGTGACAAAAAACAAAGAGGTATTTTCCTATTTATTCTCAACCTGTGAATAAAATGACAATATATAATTAATCGTGTTATTGTGTGTTATTTGTCATGTAATTGACAATTTACTAATAATATTAAATTAATAAAAATAATTAACCATTAAGTAAGTTCAAAAGCAGTGAAATAGATGCTTTAGTAAATATATTTTGGTGAAAAAATGTACTGGTAAAAATCTTCACTGTCAGTAAATATATCACGGTTATCGACAAACTTCAGTATCAAATGTTTCTTATATCCTAATTTTGTTTATTCTCTTCCTTTCAAGTGTACAAAAAAGTTTCTAAATCTTTTGAAAAAAATGATGAACTCATTTTCGATAAACACGCTTCGTTTGAATTCGAAAATCAATCTGATTGTATAAAATTATTAAAATCACGGTTCACATATTGAACTGTTTAACAAAATCATATCAATGTGGTCTATTTCAGATGAAAAACATTAATACAATGTATTTTTGCAAACATTCCAAAGTATTGATAACAGCATGCTCAATATACAAATCATTTGAAATTATCACATTGCTCCTTTCTAGTTGCATTAATAAATCCTCATGAACAGTTTGGATCTATCAAGACAAACAACTGAATAGGACTAGTAGTTAATTTTGTATATCAATAGAGGTACAACGTTTAACAATATCAGAATTGTATAACAGCAATGCCAAACGTTTGGAAATCCTTCTATTAACTCAGATTTTAATCTAATAAACTTGCTCGATAGAATTCGGTCAGGATGAAGAAGTACATACAAACTAATACTTAGTTATAAGGACCACTGTAGGTACCTCAGTTTTAAAGAAAGCCAGTCGTGACACAGATAACTTAATATTATCATTTCTGACTGTAACAATGTGTAACACGTCTACATTTTATTGAGTACAAAAATTCCTTCAGACTAACGACAAACCATACTGATAAGTGAAAAATAGTATGTATATGTACTACTACCACTGTCGTGTATGTTACTTATGCTGACAGATATAAGTTCTATGTATCAACATTCGGAAGTGAAATGCCTGAGAGCAGAAGGTTGAGGAAATTGAAATGAAAAGAGGAGTGAAGAAAACTAAAAGCAATCAGAATAAAAGCAGGAATAAATGAACGATGAATTTTATAAGAGATGACTAATGGGAGATGTGCATATGATGTATTTAATGAATGATCTTCATGTTTTTGCTAGGTAACTGTGTAATTGTGCATTAAACAATAAATCTGCATTCCCTACCAAATCTCGCTCGCTACTGTGCTACCAATACCAACTAATCACTTAAAATATGTATGAACATCAGTGCAATACATGAAGGAAACAAACATGTATTTATCATACTAATTTTTTGAAATCAGACATTGCGTTTAAGGGATACTCAAGAACTATCTATTTATAAAGTATTTCTATGATCTTTAACTTCAGAAATAAATTAAATTAGCTTTTTAATATTCATAGTTTCCGGTAAACATTTACTGCACGGTCATTTTTGTATTTTTTTTTCGAGTGAAATTTTTTTTCGTCCTTTTTGAAAAAATGTTTCATCCCCATCTTCCAATAATTTTCATTCTGTTTCGTTCAATCAAATAACTAGTTTTGAGTTCGTTATAATTGGTCGTTTATTTCTTAAAATCGATATAAAACATCAGGACATGACAGAGCACACTTCCTTTCAATTATGGACGGTGGTAACATGCAAAGCACGAGCTCCGTCGTTCCTCACATTGTCACAGAAACCGATAACCTGTTCATTCTTGAGCACATTGTATCTCGTAGCATTCCAATCTTTTGAAGCGTTGAAGAGCGCCATTAGAACTTATGAAAGAGTCACGTACTGCCATTATGTGGTGAGGGATTCTCATTTCCATAGAGATCGGAAGCCGTATATTAAATTCGTATGTTGGAGAAATTGCCGTAGAACACCTAGCGGTTCCTCACAGCCGAGTAGACGAACGAGGTAATTTGTTTAGTGTTATTATAATTTTCCATTAAGGACTACCGTGAACACTCAATGTCCTTGCTTCATATTTTGTATGTTATCAACTATCAAAATAACGTCAATATGGATGCAACGTTGAGCAATAACGAGGGAGAAATCGTTTCGATGAACTCAGAGGAGTTCACTGAACGAGATGACGACAATGACGGAAACGCATATGACAACAGAATTTGTGATATTTGCAATCTTGCGCAACTGCTACATGAAACTACTGATGGAAGTGCCTGGATGTTTTGTCCATGCGAAGCAATGCTTCATTTATTTTGTGCCTACGACCCATCACCACGCATCCATGGAATCCACTGTCCCATGTGCGATGCTATAATGGAATAATAGCAACTTTTTTGTTCATGAAATTCGGAACTGTTAAGAGAACGAGTAAAGGCTCTTTTCAGGGCCACCCACAATTTGATTTGAATTTTTTTGTTTCGATTCCTTATTTCCATGCCAAAGGTCAAGTGATGAAACCATCAAAATTCATTTAAGATTGGTAATCATTATGTGATTATCGTCCACGTATTCGTAAACGCTTTTTAAGCTTTATCAAATATACGGTTTAAGTAAACGATTTCGTATAGGAAATGTCATCTAATGAACACTAATCTGTATAACAATAGTGCATGCAAAACTTATTCAGAGTGCTTCAGTGTTTTGTCATGTAGTTACGATAGGCGAATGTAGTAATACCATTTCACTAGTACAACGACATCATTTCTATAGGACAGGTCAACTGAACCAACATTGATGAATTCTAATTAAGCCTTAGTGATTAAGCAATATAATCAATTGAGATTTATAAAAATTTCGTGGATTAGTTGAAGTCAGACATTAACAGGTTTTTCATGGTGCTCCTCTAGCTTCAATTCACTCATGATCTCAACTATTCCAATAAAAAAAATAATTATGTCTGACTATTCCATCCCAGTTTTGATCAAAATGTTGACTTTAAAAATAAAAGATACCAACTTCATTTTACTCAGAAAGTAGCAAATAATATTTATGATTGGGTTCTTTTCCAAACAGTAATTCTTAGTACAAAAGAGTTGTTTAGTTTCGCCGAAAAAATGGTGTCATAAATAAATGTAAGATTGTCAATTGTGTTATTTTGCTAATCCATTAAAAGCGTTACTTGTTTTTACCTGTACATTCTTTGCAGTTGAGCAGTTTAAAATTATGACAAAAAATACTTATCTGTGTAAGTAGTCATGTGAATAGATTACTGTGCTCGTCAAATGGGCTTAACAATTTTTGCACCTAATGTCAACAGTATATTTGCAGTTTAAAAATCCCCATAGAATATTCTACATTGTTGAATAACAAGTTTTGACAAGTATTTGAAATGTTGGGTACATTAAGTGTAAAAGTACAAGCCTACATCAGACGAAATAAATGTCTATCTCAATTATACAGAATACAGAATGACAATTCTCACTACTTCTAGCAAAAACACAAGCCATCTGAAAAACACGTATTTAACAATATAATCAGTAACTCAATTGTCTTTTTCAATCTATCCTCCAGTTTGTTCTTACTTCGATCAATATGTATCTAATTTTTTCATATGCCTACAACCACTTTATTTTTTATATGAAGATTTGATCTTCTTTTCAATGTTTTTTTATTAATTTTCATATATTAATTTAAATGAAGAAACAGGCTGTCAATTTAACAGAGATTCAAATGTGATATAATAAAAATTTTCCCAAACAATAAAAAAATATCATGTTTATGAAAGCTTAGATACAACCTACTTTTACATTAAATTATCTCTGGTTGTTAGGATGTATATCAATGGAAATCCAATAAAGTAGACCATTGTACATTGATTTCGACTGAGTTACATTATACTTCAAGCTATTCAATCCATCACTTTTAAATCGACGCTCTGAAGTTTCCAACAACTTGAAACTAGATGCATTTGAAACAAAAAAAACGTAAGTTGATTACTGCAGTTACTATGTTAAAATTTTAATAGTTGAAAACTATATATAATAAGTCTGATGAGCTAAACTAACCATAATCTATAAATCTTAGTCATTACGGTAACCATTGATAATTAATTCCTGAAAAGTATCCAATCTTCATTTAAAATATATAACTGCGTTATTACCTCTTACCAGAGAAATCTTAGTAGTGAACTGAAAGAGAAAAAGTCACTACTATTTTTAATTTAACAGGTTAAACAAGTTTTTCGATTCATTTAGTCAACTTGCACAAAACTAATGATTTTTGCACGTATAACCAGTGAATTTCGAATAGTTAACCAAAAATGTATCATTAAGGTAAAAGAACACAAATAATCTTAGAATCATGCTACTCAATTTATCATATAACAAAATATTAGTTGACCTTACTTGTAAAACTAGGCTCTACAACATTCTAGTCTCTCATTTTACATGTATTGACAGGTATTTTTGTGTTTCAAAATAAATAGGTTAATGCCAAGTAGGATTAATTCAAACGGAAGATGTCGAATAAGGTATATACTCTGAGTAATTTAATATGTAATCATAGCAAAAATGAATGCAGTTAGGAAACAAACACAATGAAGTTAAATTGTAATCCAAAGAACCATAATAATATTACTAAATAAACATTAACTATCTAACTCAAGAGGTGAGGACTTGTATAGAGTAAGAAACTATGCAGCATTTAGGAGAAAAAAAAGCAAGGATTATATCTGTGTTACTGTGATTGATTACAAATGACATCAGTCACATATTGTCTTCAGTAATCACTGCTTTTGCAACCTAAAAGAATTCATCCACTAAGTTTGAAACTCTATATCAGATTGAATATAATGGTTCTATGAAGTCTAGATAAAAGGTTATTCTCAAAAACTTTAAGCTAAAAACAATTATCTCTTATAATAAACTAATGGTAATATCAAACATAATTGGTTATTTCATAGGTTGAAATCATGAGTCAATTGAAGGTAGACCACCATGAAAAACCTGGAAGGCCGTTTCGTCCTAATATGGGACTCCTCATCAGTGCGCATCCACGATCCCGCACCCCGCGGGGTCCGAACCCAGGACCTACTGGTTTCGCACGCGAGTACTTAACCGTTAGACCACTGAGCCGGCATCCAACGGCGTTAATGTCTAACTTCAATAATCGACTGCTCACTAAGGACTGAATTCAGGAGATACTCCTGGAGTTCTAGTGAGAAGCCGTCACCAGTGGAGTCCAACCAGGTCTGTTGTAAGATATCAACTCACTGAAGACAGTGGTGTACGGTTGCACAACTTCGTGGATTGGTTCTAGTTAGACATTAACACCATTGGATGCCGGCTCAGTGGTCTAGTTGGTTAAGCGCCTGACGCGCGAAACCAGTAGGTCCTGGGTTCGAATCTCGCGGGGTGAGGGATCGTGGACGCGCACTGCTGAGGAGTCCCATATTAAGACGAAACGGCCGTCCAGTGCTTCCAGGTTTTCCATGGTGGTCTAACTTCAAACGAATCATGATTTCAACCTTTGAAATTTCTAAAAAAATCTCCACAAAACTCATTCTGATAATAATTGGTTATGATTAATCTTGTTAATAAATGACAGTTAGTAGATCATCTAATGAATATTCATAATATTGATAAATTCAATTTATTAAATTCGATATTTTCTTACAATTTTCAACTATCATACAAAAATATTATGCCTATTTTAATTAATCTAACTCAGAGAATCTAACATTGTCAACAACAAAAAAATTTTTTTATTTATTTATTAACAACATACCGATTTGGATTTATTTCATTTAATTCATCTGTTTTATGACTCATTGCATAATAACGACCAATCAATAAATTGATTCGACTTAAATTATAACCAGATTGTTCAACACGTAATAATAAATCATCATCTTCACCACCCCATCCTTCATATAAATTTGAAAAACCATTAATTTTAAAATATTGATCACGTGTGAATGTGACAACACCACCAAAAAATCTTTGATAAATTAATCTATAAATAATAAAAAATAAGTAATTTATTTTTTAAAAAAAAAATTTCTATCATAAAAATGTAAATTTAAGATAAAAAATAGTAAATTTACATTTTATAAATTAGATTTTATTTATTTTAACAATGACAACGTTAAATTGTTGTATAAAAACCGCCTCTTGTAGCTCATCTAAGATTATTATTGATTTTAAGCACGGATAAGCAAAGAGGATTAATTTTATGATCAGCAACCCTATAATGTAGAAAATAATCATATCAATACATCTCTAACTAAAGAAAATAATTTGTACAATCCAATCTTTGACTTGGAAGTTGAAGGAATTATAATGTCTCATGGTGAAAGTCGAGAGTCCGGAAATCACAAGGATGTTCACTTTTCTTGCAAACAAATTAACGATTAACATCGAAAAATGGAATATCCGGATAATGTAGGAAACTGGGGTGGTAATGGTGGTGGTCAAATAGCTGTGCAAATGAAGAGATTCAACTTAACGATACTCTCAATAAGTGAAACATATTGGACACAAACTGGGTAAAATAGATTATATTCAGGAAAGATGCTGTAGTACACGGGCACATACAGAAGCAAACAAGAGAGTGAAGAGGAGCATTAGAGCTGACAAGTAAAAGTACGTGGAAGAGCTAGCAACGATAGTGGAAAATACTTCAAGAGAAGGAAATATTGAACAAATATGTGATACAACAAACAAACATGTAGGAAAATATCGTCAACCAAAAAGATCGGTAAAAGACAAAGAAGACAAGACAATCACTGAGATTGAAAAACAATTGGACAGGTGAGTAGAGCAATTGGAAGAACTCTTAAAAAGATCAGCACTACTGAACCTATTGAACATCGAAGCAGAACATACGGATCTTCTTTTAGATGTCACTCCAACAACGATCGATGGAATCAGGATGGCCATGAGACAGATCAAGAGTGGGAAAGCGACAGGATCAGATGACATGCCAGATAAAGCAGTGAAGTCAAACACAGGGGTGACTGCAAACATGCTTCACTTTCTAATCAAGAAGACTTGGTAGGAAGAAGGTGTACTGACAGATTGGAAAGAAGAATAACAGGCATATAATTATACCGAAAAAATGGGATCACAAAGAGTGTGAGAAATAAAATGGCATCACATCATTATCGGTTTAAGGACGAGTTTCCAACAGAGTATTGTTGAAGTGAATGAAAGACTCAGCGGACTCTCAACTTCGAGATCAACAGGGCGGAATCCGAAAGGATCGATCGTTTACAGACCGAATCACGACATTACGGATGATTGTTGAGCAATCAATTGAGTGGAGTTTGTCACTATACTTCGGCTCTCTTGACAACGAGAAAGCGTTTGACAGTGTGTATCGGAGAATTTCATGGACCCTTACTCGGCACTGTGGTGTACATAAGAGTATTATTGATATCATCCTGAGTTTGTACGGCAGACTACACTGTGGAGTCGTGCATGGAGGACAGCTGACTGATGCATTGGAAATGAGGACTGGTGTCAGACAAGGCTGTCTGGTCTCTCCCTGTCTTTTTCTTCTGGTGGTCGACTGAATTATGAATACCTACAAATTTCAGCTGAAGCACGGAATACAATGATCAGCTTGGATGAAACTAGATGAATGGACTTGACAGATGATCTAATTTTTCTATCCGAAACAAACCAACAAATGCGGGTTGAGACAACTAGTGTAGCAGCAGCTTCTGCAGCAGTAAGCCTCAGCATACACGAAAGAATAAAGGAGTTCCTCAAATACATCACAGGACACAAATCCAGTCGCAAATGATGGAAAATCTCTGGAATCTTTCACGTATCTGGTCAATAGCATAATCGATGAAGGGGGAAGATCGGATGCACGCGTAAAAACGAGGATTGGCAAATCAATGGCCAATGGTGCATGGAGGACAGCTGACTGATGCATTACAAATGAGGACTGTGTTCTAACACGACTATCTACACTCTTCCTTTCTCAATCTTCTTGTGGTCGACTGAACTATGAAGACTTTTATATTTCAGGGGAAACACGGAATACAATGGACACCTTGGATGACATTAGACGATTTGGACTTGACAGATTACTCGACTCTTCTATCTCAAACACACCAAGAACTATAGGTGAAGACTGCCAGTGTAGCGCCAACCTCTATAGCAGTAGGCCTCAGAATACACAAGGGAAAAGGCAAGATCCTCAAATACGAAACTGAGAACACTAACCCAATCATACTTGATGGGGAAGCTCTGAAAGAGATGGAAACTTTCACGTTCCTGGTCAGCATCATTATCAATGAAAAAGAATGATCCGATGCTAATGTAAGGGCACGGATCGGCAAAGCATCGACATCTTCACTACAATCAAAAAACATGTGCAACTCAAACAACTGTCAGCCAACAGGGAAGTCTCACTTCAATACATACATCATGTCAGTTCTATTGTGCGGAGCTGACATTTGGAGAACTAAGACAACCATATGATCAATCCAGTTGCCAAGTCAGATCTGTTTTACAAACTGACACTGATACAGATTTTTTTCAAATTATAAAGGTAGTCACTAAGTAAACATTTAAATGACTGTTATCATATTTATTATGTGTCGATTTCTTTCAACTGAGGAATATAATGAGACATATTGACTTCTCAGTCTTGCTGGTCGATTTCTTTCTCGACTGATGTGGAGAACGGTAGACTGTTGAATACCCTCATTACATAGTTTAATGATATAAAGCAAATGAATGAAGATAAATCAAAACTAAAAGCAATTGTTCAGCCAAGAATTATAGTTTTTTTAGTGAGGTAACATAAAGAAGTCTTAATAAATTTGGAGCATGAATAACAGTGAAATTCAGTGAGTTTAATCCCATTTGTTCATCCAAATCCTTACAATCAAATTCATTTTATTTATTTACTTATTTGAACACATAAATATTGTTACAAAGGAGCACCAAATACATATGCGCTACACAAGAACAATGAGAATGGGAAGAAATGGAAAATGTAAAGTGTGTGTGCAAAAAAAGAAGCAGCTTTCTTTATGTCTAACAGAACTATATCCTTAGCATAAATTGTACCTAAATGGCAATAGTATATGTTGCTTTAGTAATATCACAAGACATAATGAACTGGAATTATAGCTTTATTGAGAGGATATACTGATAAAATAACATGGAAGTCAGTAGCAAATGGTTTGATTGAAAGTGTTGTCGTTAAATTTTTCTGTATCACTACATGATTTACACAATAAAGAATTTTACGAATCATTTTATATGAGATGCTTAAAACACTTTAAGAAAGCCGCATGGATTCCTTCCTTTAAGAATAAACTATATACATATTTGAACTTTTATACTTGACTTTCTTTGGTGCCTGAGTCCCGAAATCTCAAATCATTTTAATATGATTTATCCTTTCTATTATTACTGATACTTTTATTACTTCTAATACACTGAGACTTGTCTTGGTAATTTATTTCGCTGTGCTAAATTGCTATGTCACATTGAAATGATGCAAATATCTGTCAGGTTTTATGTTGAAGATGATTACTGACTGATTGAATTTTCACACGCATGCCATCTTGTTTAGAAAATGATCAATAAATCGTGTCCCAAAAATCAGCCAAATAAACAATGTAGCTTATTATTCTTTTGTTGTAAAACAACCACTGTTGACTTTAATTAGGAAACACGCAAATGGTATTCATTATATCTTTCTGAGCTTCCTTACATCACGTTGAGCTGAATAAAATCTTTATTGTTTAAAAGCGACAGGTCGGGTAGAAATGAAAATGTGGACAAGAGATTAATTGAGAAACAAGAGTAAATATATTTAGTTGACTGTAAACGTGAATAGTGAACAGCAGCTAACAGTGTGCCAGAAAGTAGATTCTGTAGGTTGCGTAAATGAGTGCAGCATACATCCTGATTGATCAATCAGTTTTATACAATTCAATATTTGTATAAGTCTAACTGCATCCCATCCATCAATTTGCAATGCAGCAACGTTTCTAACTGACTTGACTTTGAATTCATCACGTCTAAAAGTTTAATGATGACTGAAGTTAATCAGAACTTTTATTTGGTGCTTTTAGTTTCACTATTATACAAATGACCTATCTGACATAGCAGAACGTCAAATATCAAGCGTTCCAGGCATTGTAGATTGATTTAGCCGTCAGAATAGACGAACTTGATTATAATTATCAACGTAGTTTCGAGTGAATACAACCTAAAACTAATGATTTCTAATTCTCTTCAACCGTCTGAAACGCATGCATTAGTATTTTTTTTAATTTCACACATGTTCTTACAACAGAATATTGAAAAGAAAGTATTCAAAATAGAACTAACTTGTAGTTAAAAGTACTTAATGAAGCTGACAAATGTGTTGGATTTGGTCCACATGTATAAATAATTCGATCATCTTCTGGCAGTTTATCTACATCATGTAAAATGAAACAGTCATATTCTTTGAATTTGGAAACTTCAAGAAAACCAGCATTTAATAAAGCACCACGATTAAATTTCCTTTCACCGGTCTAAAAAGTCAATAATATGTATGTCTTTAGTTTAAAGATTGTTAGTAACTAATAGACAAAGGAATTATAATGTAGCTTTTGAAAATCTGTTTAGAAAATGACTTGATCTAGGCCCTTGTGATCAGATAAACAATGAATCCCTGTATATTTTGGAAACGGGACATAGGCTTTCTGAGTCGATAAATCATTTGTAACAGACTTACTGATATATTTTATTAATATCTAAACCGATTGGTGATTGAATACTTTTCTCAAATTTTGAAAGAAAACTAGTTTCATGTCTAACAATCAAAGTAGCTCGTACGTTACAAAATAATAAAGTTCATTTAACTTTAGTGATTTAACTAAAATCTAGAAAATTAATTATAGAATGATAATTCTTGCAGAATACAGTGAATTCAATATATTCCATTACTTTCTATTTAACTACATATAGGTTAATATTATTTAATTATTTATAATCATTAACAAAATTTTCAATCTGATAAATGAATTGTCAATAACGAATGGATTATTTTAAATATAGAAAGATTAATATCTAAACGTTCCAACTTTTTACTCCGAAAAGAAACAGGCTTTTGTTCATCTGCTATCAAATCATGAATAAAATTAATCAGGCTAAGAACAGAATTAAAAAAACTTATTCTCCACTGAGAAACCGATCTCATTGTACACAACATGATACTCAGTAACGCAAACGAAAGAAGGTAAGTATCGAATATCTGAAACCTTTAAATGAATATAACGTATATGCTCATACAAAAGAATACACCACGGACGAACATAAAGGCAGGGCTCAACTCGTCTTACTGAACATATTCCTGATAATCTTATCCTTCAAAGACAAAACAGTCTTCATAGTTTGATAGCATATCGCCTTCAAGACACGGAACATAACGTTGAATAAAAACTAATCTATTGTATTAAAATTCACGGAAGCCATAGCAATCAGTTGGTTTAATTCTGACCTCTGTATTAAAAGTCAGTGGTTAACTTTCAACTGTTTTAATAAAAGAATCGAAATAAGCATTTCGCCACATACTTATTTCCTGCTTTTAACTGATTGTAATCATAAACGAGTCATGTACACGTTCATGAACAAATCCTTCTCGTTTTACATAATACTGTCTCAATTATTCTAGAACTGTCACCTTAAATAATGATGAAAAACCTGTCGTGCAATATTTATTCTTAATTATTTTTTTATATTTAGAATAATCTATTCAATTAAAGACAATTCATTTATGAGATTGAGCATTTTGTTAATGATTATAAATAATTATATAATATTAACCTTTTTATAGTTAAATAGTAAGCAAAACAGAACGACCGGTGAAAAGCAAGGAAGGCGAGGTAATCACCAACATTGAAGAGCAACAAAACAGGTGGGTAGAACACTTCAAAGAACTCTTGAATCGACCAGCTCCACTGAACCCACCCAACATCGAAGCAGCACCCACGGACCTCCCAACAAATGTTAGCCCACCAACAATTGAAGAAATCAGCATGGCCATCAGACAAATCAAAATTGGCAAACCAGCAGGACCAGACAACATTCCAGTAGAGGCACTGAAAGCAGACGTAGCGGCAGCTGCAAGGATACTCCACATTCTCTTCAATAAGATTTGGGATGAGGAACAAGTACCAAAAAACTGGAAAGAAGGACCCCTGATCAATATACCGAAGAGAGGCGATCTAAGCAAGTGTGATAACTACAGGGGCATCACTCTTCTCTCAATACCGGGAAACGTCTTCAACAGAGTACTGTTAAACAGGATGAAGGACTGCGTAGACGCCCATCATCGAGACAGACAGGCAGGATTCCGTGAGGATAGATCGTGTACAGACCAAATCGCAACTATACGGATCATTGTGGAACAATCAATTGAATGGAATTCATCACTCTACATCAACTTCATTGACTACGAAAACGCATTTGACAACGTGGACAGAACAACACTATGGAAGCTTCTTCGACTCTACGATGCACATCGGAAGATAGTCAATATCATACAAAATTCATATGATGGATTACACTGCAAAATCGTGCATGGAGGACAGTTGACAAAGTCGTTCGAAGTGAAGACCGGTGTTAGGCAAGGTTGCTTACTCTCACCCTTTCTCTTTCTCCTGCTGATCGATTGGATCATGAAGACGTCAACATCTGAAGGGAAACGCGGGATACAATGGACATCTAGGATGCAGTTGGACAATCTGGACTTCGCAGATGATCTGAACCTTCTATCCCAAACGCAACAACAAATGCAGGAGAAGACGAACAGTGTAGCAGCAGCCTCAGCAGCAGTAGGTCTCAATATACACAAGGGGAAGAGCAAGGTTCTCCGATACAACACAGCATGCACCAATCCAATCACAATTGACGGAGAAGATTTGGAAGATGTAAAAATCTTTACATATTTGGGCAGCATCATTGATGAACATGGTGGATCTGATGCAGATGTGAAGGCGCGGATCGGCAAAGCAAGATCAGCATATTTACAACTGAGGAACATCTGCAACTCAAAACGACTGTCTGTCAACCAACACCAAGGTCAGGATTTTCAATACAAATGTCAAGACAGTTCTACTGTATGGGGCGGAAACCTGGAGAACTGCGAAAGCCATCATTCAGAAGATACAGGTGTTTATTCACAGTTGTCTACGCAAAATACTTCGGATCCGTTGGCCGGACACTATTAGCAACAACCAACTGTGGGAGAGAACAAACTAGAACCCAGCGGAGGAAGAAATTAGGAAGAAGTGCTGGAAGTGGGTAGGACACATATTCAGGAAAGCACCCAACTGTGTCACAAGGCAAGCTATTGCATGGAATCCTCAACGTCAGAGGAGAAGAGGAAGAACAAAGAACACAATATGCCGAGAAATGGAGACAGACATGAGAAAAATGAACAAGAATTGGATAGAACTAGAAAAGAAGGCCGAGGTCAGAGTGGGTTGGAGAATGCTGATCGGCGGCGTATGCTCCATTGGGAGTAACAGGCGTAAGTAAGTAAGTAAATTAGTAAGTAAGCAATGGAATACATATTTTATGGATCTTATCATTCATATTTTGTTCGCATATTGTACGACAAATAAATTCTGTGTAAATATACTGTTGACTTAGTTTTGTAGAATATGTAGTTTTTTTTTAATGGCCCTTAATCTGCTGACTCGAGGTTGATCATGTAAATGATTGTTATCGAAATAATACATATCGCCAGTCCCTGTATATTATTATCAACTTCACTCGCGTTAGTGAATAACAGAATTAAATAAGTAAAATACGAGAATGGATTTTGATTATGTATATTTGATGTACTCAGTGATTTGAATAGGTAATCAAGGAGACGAAAAGAAGAACGAAGGAGATTGGAGAAGGCTTGTGAGCCAACTCAACAGAGTGTTAATCAATATTTATTGTCAAAACAAAAATAAGCTACAGACATGTGATGAGTGGGATTAGCAATCAACACATATACGATCATGTAAAAACAGTTAGAGTTATTAAGCGAGTAATTAACGAGGTCAAAGTAGACTCAAGAAGAATGAATAAATTGGCCTGTCCAGAAGCTAGAATAAGCCATATGGGCTTAACATAGCAGCCGACACTGCAATTTGTAAGCATATGTGTACCATTTAGAAGTTCGAAACAAATAATCCTAAGTCATAAGCTTGTCCATGGATTAGTTTTCATATAGAATTCGCTTTATTTGAAATAGTTTCATCAAAAGTACTTGTTTAGACTTTGAAATACTTTGACAATGATAACATAAATAATATGCACGCCTTTCATGTTCTAAACAAAACTCAAAAGATAGATCCCATAAAATATAGTATCTGAGTCTTTACCACTTACCTGTTCAATAATAAAAATGGTATATGGTATTCTTTGATGTCGTAAAAATCCATGTAAATGATCTGTTAACACTCGTAAATGTTGTTCTCTTTTACGATAAGGAATAATTATAGCTGATGACAAGCTAGGTAAACAACCTAATGGAGACCATATAATTGGTGTAGTATAATTGATAGTGTGATTTTTCTTATCAATAATATATCTTAAATTATTACTTGATACAGCATAACTATTTATTTTTGTGGCATTATACTTAGTGTAAAATGATCCAAATATTTGTTGTGGAATGAAATTTTCCAATGACGAATTCGGTGAAATAAAATCTATTGGTTGAGATAATGCATATTTATATTGTATCTGTGGCCAAAATAATGCTTTATTAGGCGTTTTTACGTGACCAACTGAAATATAAAAAAAATACAAAGTGAAATCGAAAAAAAAACTTTTATTTTTTTGAACATTTAAACTTTAATTTTAGATGTTTGTTATTTGAAAAATTTATTCAACATGAATTAATCATGTCAACTAAGAAGAAAACACTACCCAATGTTCACTTGCATAAACTACCATTCCAGATGAATTCGTTTTATTATAAAAATCAATTTCCAGATTATGAATATTTTTCAAGACCAGGAATTATCATTTACAAATATCCATACAATATAAAATAATAATCTAGGTTGTCAACAATTTATTGCTGTAGCTAACTTATGAGATGACCATTTCTTCTTAAAACTACCTACACATTACTGAAGCACGTATGTAATCACTGAACGAAATGATTAGTATTCAATCAATTGATTGATGTTCATTCAAGTTAATGTTAAGTTTGTTTTACGTTCTCTATCCTTGTTCAATTCCCATCGACTCTTTTTTGTATTGTTTTATACTACTTATTAATGTTGAGTAAACAGTTGTTTTCCCAAAATCTTCGCGTATGTTGTAACGCAAGTTTATCGTGTAATATTCGAAAATATTTACATATGCTTATAACATTTATTGTGTTTATCATTAAAACTATTTTCTCTCAATCCTTGTAGCAGTTATTTGCAATTTTTTGCAATCATTGTTTAGACACAACAGTTTCCATATTGTTTGCTCTCGGTTCAGTTTTTGCTTGTTGCTAAACTGTTATCAAGTTTAGACACAGCTAACAGCTGTTATTTGCACTATCGTATGTTATAATTATTCTTTATGTTATTAATGCAAGGAGTCTTTTTTCAGACTTACAGATCCGGTAAGCGCCACAGATACCTCAAAAATGGAGGTTTGTAACTAATTTATGTACACTATTCAATAAAACATCGTTTGTTTAGACAACTCGTTGTTTTGTGAATTTCGATTTCACGTGTATCTCAATTAGGTGGGCCAGACGCTTAGATAGATTTAGTAGTTAAACTAATATAAATGTGAAAACATTTGGAAAAAAGGGATTTTTAAGATAATAATTTGAAAATACCTATGACAACAACTTGCCTTGTGTATATTTTAATCTGCGACATCGTAACTACAAATCAAAAATAAAGTGAGGTAATTCGACATGTGCTACAAAGATGGTTCATTCAAATGCTTTTCTATATAAAAATCATATGCCGAATACACTGAACTTCAGAATATAACCATAATTTTAAGATTACCAAATTCATTTTAAACAATTGCTAATGGAATTTTCCTTAACTTACTTATTTACGTACTTACGCCTGTTAACTTTCGTGGAGGAGTATAGGTCGCCAACCAGGATTCTTCATCCAACTCTGCCCTGGACAATCCTTTTCAGCTGTTTCCAGTTGCTAATCATCCTTTTGATGTTAGCATCCAATTTTTGGCACAGTGTGTTCTTTAATTTTCCTCTCTTCCACTTCCCTTCACGATTCCAAGTTAGCACTTGCCTCGTGATATAGTGAGTTAATTTCCTCAATGTGTGTCCTATCAACTTCCAAAATCTTTCCTTATTTCACTCTTCAGCTAGAACCTAGTTTGTTCTCTCTCACAGTTGCTTGTTGCTGATGGTATCCCGTCAAAGGACAATGAGTATGTTACGTAGACAATTGTTTACAAATACCTGTACTTTATTGATGATAGTTGTAGTAGTTCATCACGTTTCAGCTCTGTACAGTAGAACTATCTTGACGTTAGTATTGAAGTTTCTGACTTTAACATTGGTTGATAGTTGTTTCTATTTCCGTATGTTTTTCAACGGTAGGAATTCTGTCCTTGCTTTGCTAATCCTCGCCTTTACGTCTGCATCAGATCCTTCACGTACATCGTTGATGCTGACCAGATATGTGAATTTTTCCACCTCTTCCAGAGCTTCTCCATCAAGTGTGACTGGGTTGGTGTTATCTGTGTTGTACTTCATCATCTTGTTTTATCCCTTATGTATGTTGAGGCCTACTGCTATAGAGGTTGGTGCTACAATGACAGTCTTCACCTGCATTTGTTTATGTGTACGAGATAGAAGGGCCAGGTCATCTGATTATTTAAAAAACACTTTTCAAAGAAAATCATGTCCGCACGATTATTTAATTAATCGTATTTTAATAAAAACACACATGACATAATTCCTTACTGATGTGTTCATTGTTTTCGAAAAAGAACAAACTGAAACGTGAAACGTTTAACACGATGTGTGGATTTCATATTTTACTTTAATGTTTAGCCGTTTATTCACTTTGCAAATTACTGTTTAAATTTATAAATCAGTGTATAATTTGATGTGTTTCTTCAAGTAGCCAAATGCAGATAAGCCATACAGAAGGCCATTCAAAAAATAGTCAACCACTTACATGGTTATAAATCAGCTGGACAAAACAGTCAACAGAAACACGTTACAAAACCTGAAAAGTCATATAGTCAGAAAAAGAGTCACTAGAAGTGACTAACTTAACCCTTGTGTAATATTTAGGAAGAGCTAATAATACTGTTCATAATGACAACGATAGCTTTGCAATTCAAACCATTTAGGTTATAGAATTTAAAACTGTCAATAGCATTTATTTTAGCTGTAGAACCATTGTGTTATGTTGGAAATCCATATCTTTATTATTATGCATTCGTCACTTGGATATCATATTTGTGTCCAGATGGTAAAGGATCATTAAAAAAAATTATAGGACTTAAACTTGTAGAAAAAAATCTTTAATCACATATTCCTGTTAAGTAGTTGAAAACTGTCAATAAAAACTTTAATTGAGCTCAGTTTTATGTTAGTTAAAACTCATCATCATCTGCGATAATGAGGAAAGTGTCATTTTCTGTGACATTCAATCATGTTTCACTTACTTTCACAAGCTAACCCGTTACAACTAAGCAGTTTCGGACACGACTGAGATTTTACTGCTTATTCATCACTGAAGTGCAATCACTATTATGCTTATCCAATCTTTACATTAGTCTTAAACACAAGTGCCTACATATTTATAATTATCTCATCTTGTTTTGATTAGAAGACATTAAGAAGCAAATGAAGAACGAAGAAGATTATTACACTGTTAACAGTTCGGCTTTTCAGATGTTGAGTACAAACATTAAATCCTAGTAGTTATTATTTGATTTATGAGTTTAAAACAAAGAAAATATTGGAATCGACTCCATAGATTAGTTATTTCAGAATATATATATCGCTGGAAAAACTTATTTTTAATCAGAATCAACTATAAGTTTATAATGTCAGAATCGTTCGTTTGATTTCAGAAGATAGATCACCCCATCATAGTAGGGTTTAATTTATTAGTTCAAAGCGAGTGGATGGAAAACTTGGACCTACGTTTCTACCGTGATCCATATAATTCGATAAGCATAAAACATTAGACAAACACCGCACTGGTTAGCACTCATTTACTAGTCATTGTATATAATCCAGTCCAAAAGAAGGTCATTTGCAACCGGAACAGCTAGGTAGTGATGTCTCTGATTATGACAATGGGTGAACTCAAATTGCATGAGGTTTATCATTTCTTCAAGATCGCAAATACCTTTCGCTGTCAAGTGTCAACTCGGATGAAACCTGTGTTCAAACCATCAGCTAATATCTAAACATGATCCACATGATGTTGGGTCACTCAAACTAGTGGTTGGTCACATTGTAACTTGATTTATGAAATCTGACCAGAATTATAGTATAGGTAAACCACTCTGCAATCAATTGGCATGAAAAGTAAAGTGTCGTTGTAAATTTGATAGCTTGTGTTACACACTTTATAATTTTACATCTCAATAATATCACATTTCTAAAAAAAGAGAGAACTACAAAAATGTGCTTATTATAATGATCTTAACATCATTTATCGAATATGGTTCACTAAACTCATCCAAAAATGACAAAGACTCAAAATATTGCCATTTTTTCCTTATCTAAATTTATCAAGAGATCAGGATATATGAGGATTACTTATTTCTGTAAATTTTTCGATATGAAAATCATAATATTTGTATGCTAAAAAAAGAATGGATAGCTAGATTGGAATACTCACAATTGATTGATCACTGGGTGGTGATCAATGTCATGCTTGTCTAGTCCTTATTAGTGCAGATCGAATGCTATCGATCGTGTTGCAATGTGGCCACCAGTCTAGGTGACTCGACACTGCGGGCACTATGTATTGAGATTTAGATGGTGGTTGGAGGTAGTCAACAGGAAACCCTGGACCCGGGTTTCGTGCTATTTGGCACTCGTCAGCAAGGTGTACCTGTAATCTTGAGGGAACTGGTGCTCCGTGGCGGATTCGATCTCGTGTCACCCAGCTTCACAGTCAGAGACGTTACCACTGAGCTATCCGAGCCGTGACTATCCTCCTGTGTCGAGTCACCTAGACTGGTGGCCACATTGCAACACGATCGATAGCATTCGATCTGCATTAATAAGGACTAGACAAGCATGACATTGATCACCACCCAGTGGTCAATCAATTGTGATTACATCTCAGTCCTACAGGAGGATAGTCACGGCTCGGATAGCTCAGTGGTAACGTCTCTGACTGTGAAGCTGGTTGACACGAGATCGAATCCGCCAGGGAGCACCAGTTCCCTCAAAATTACAGGTGCACCTTACTGACGAGTGCCAAATAGCACGAAACCCGGGTCCAGGGTTTCCTGTTGACTACCTCCAACCACCATCTAGATTGGAATACTTTTTAAAATACATAGAATATTGACCAGTTTAGTAAGGGGTAGGTCATACACTTTATATATGATAATTGACCAACTGCACCATCACGGTTTATTAAAATGATATATTATTGTGTCACTATAATTCAATTATCTTTTCAATCAAACTAATCAGGGTGAATGGAATTTCAGAAGATAATTCATTTTTGAAATTATAGTTCCAGATTAATTTGTTGTTTAACTTTAAAAACTGAATGACATTTTTTTTGGTATTTGTAAATACCCCAAATAGTACAATCAATTTTTTATGTTATAGATAACTTAAGAATAACACGTACATTTAAAGCAATTATTTCATGTTACAAATCACTAGTTATTAATTAAATTGATTCATTAACAGTTTCGTACAATTTAAAGAGAACATTATAATTTGATTATAAAAGGTTAAATTTAAACTGTCAAATTAATGATCTCAAAAGTTAAGATATCTAGTTTTATGACTCATTATCTCAACCATTGAAATTACTATATTATCCACAAAACTCCTTCTGATACTAATCAACATATACTCACTAGTGACTGGCTTCTAGAGGATTATCCTGGAGTTCTAATGAGAAGCAGTGACCAGTGGAGTTCAACTGGGTCTGTTGTGAGATAGTAACTCACTGAAGACAATGGTGGATGTGTCGCTCAATTTCGTGGATTAGTTGAAGTTAGACATTAACACCAATGGATGCCGGTCGGGTCAGTGGTCTAGTGGTTAAGCGTTCGCACGCGAGACTGATAGGTGCTGGATTCGAATCTCGCTAGGGGGGCGGTATCGTGGGTGAGCACTGTTGAGGAGTCACACAGTAGGTCGAAACGGCGTGCAGTGCTTCTAGGTTTTCCATGGTGGTCTAGCTTCAGCTGACTCATGATCTCAGCCAGTGAAATCTCTATAATATCCACAGAACCCCTTTTGATATCTAGTTTTATCTAGTAATAAGTAGTTATATCTGAACCGATGAATCCTTGAGATAACGAATACTTTTTATGAGACTTCAAGTTTCATAGTAAGCTGACTGTATACGATTATCTGTCAATAATCCCAATCATTTACTTAGACTATGAAAATGATAATTTTAATCAAATACTATAGTATGCCATTGGTTGTAAATTTCGATACATCATGTATCGTTATAGACATGACATAGTTTTACCCAAACTCCACTAAACGCTTTCGTAATTGTTTTGTTTTTACAATCATGTGATTGTATTGGATACAGTTTTAGGAGAGTCACATTCTTTCATAATTGAAACCAAGAAAAAAAACATGATTTCCTTTTAGGGATCATAAAAATTAACACTTTTCTGTTTGTTTTTTATTAAGATCTTTTAAGGTCTTACTTCATTTTCTATTAAATTAACGTTTTAAAACTTATCCTGATAATAATCAATTTGTCTACATTCATTTTTTGTATGCCTAAAACTTGAAGTGGTTAAAAGATAGCAGGTTTCTCTTGTAACAAAAACTCAGTCAGTAGTTTCTCACTATCGATTTAATTTTATTGATATTTGAGTACATAGAGGGCCACAATTCAACTTTATATCAATATACTTGAAAGAAATTTATAACATTCGACATGTAAATTGACTAGTGACTACATTGAATAGTAAAATGAATTGTCTCTTGTCGTTTTTTTTCTTTGAATAATTCAGTGAATAATTTGTGAAATGATTTAGTAATCATCTACTTGTTTACCTTCAAACTATGGGTTAATCTATAATCATCATTCATAAAAGTTATTCTATAATTATTATCATAACAAATCAATGAATTGATTTTAATCATCAACTCAATATACTCATACTTGTAACAATCATAGAGATATCAGTATAAAGATGTCATGTTTAAATATTATGAATAATTTCTGTAAAATTCAACTACAATCTATGCAAATCCATAAGATGTATTCGAATAATAATAATAATAATAATAATAATAATAATAATAACAATAATAATAATAATAATAACAACAATATTAACTACATTTCCGAAATAAAAATCAATAAAAAGGAACGGACAAAAAATTGATTTTTAAATAATAATAATAACATTAGGTAAAATAATACAAATAAACAAAAAAAATTACCCAAATATACCTCATTGAATGGATTATCAATAGATGCATAATTAATAATAAATGCTGGATTATTTGTTTCATTAAGTTTTGCACTCCATAAATAGCATACATAAGTAGCACCAATTAAAAATAATATCATGAATAAACATTTTAACGGTGAATTGATTAATGATGAGAATAACATTTCGAAAATTCTAAAATGATAAAGTATTGAAAAAATAAAGATAAATTATATTAGTTTGTGGTGGAGTTTTGTTCTCTGAGCTGGATGGTTTGGTCGTGGAGCTTTCATCGTTCTTCTGAACGACATCATCAGTACAAACTTCAGATAGAAGTGAAGTGTTCTATCTGAAGTTTGTGCTGATGATGTCGTTCAGAAGAACGATGAAAGCTCCACGACCAAACCATCCAGCTCAGAGAACAAAACTCCACCAAAATCATCCACCTGAGCTACAAATCTTCTCCATTATATTAGATTATATTTGTTCTTTTTTGGAAAAACAATAATCAATCCAACATAAAAGAATACCTAAATGATATGTGTCATATTACAGGCATCGGTGAATAAATTGATTGATAAAATCATTTATTAGTAATTTTAGATAATCTATGTTGGATAGAGACAGGTATCAACCTCAATGCAATGAAAGATGGTTGTATAATTTCGTGAATTGGTTGAGGTTCGACATTAACAGCGTTGGATGCTAGCTCAGTGGTCTAGAGGTTAAGCGTTTGCGAGCGATGCCGAAGGCTTTGAGTTTGAATCGCACATGAGGGATAGTGGATATACACTTTTGAGGAGTCCCATACTAAAATGAAATGGTCATCCAATGCATCCACATTTTCAATGGTGGTCTAACATCCATCGGTTCATAATCTCAATCAAAAAGTTCATCAGGTAATAAGTTGATATACATGCATTGTTTTACAAAACAAAAGATCATAAAGTTCGTAGTTACTATAAAGTCGTGTTTTATTTTATGAGATAAAAATTATTTTATTAGGAAATCATAAACGTGTATCTAAGTAATTGAATTGGATTTGTTTATTAAAACCATATTTTTAATATTATTGATAATCAGTTCCTGAATTTTATACTTGATGCATAATATAGTCTTAATCTTCAGTCTTACATTGGTTAGTGAGGATATCCGTAATGTATTCAGTGGTGAATTAATATATTGCTAACCCGTCTTGAACCTTTCCAATGTTACGGTCAGAAGCCTCAATAAAGCAGGAGAATATGACGTGTGGTTAGCAACCACATATCGTAGAAAAAAACTTTACCAACAAAACACCATTCTTATAAAATCATTTCAGTCACTTCAACTCTCTTCGAAGTCGAATGGTCTTCATATAGAACTTTTATAAGGCTTCGTGACAAAAGCATAAATTCTTGAGAAGTAGCAATGCCGACGATTATCTTGACAACAAGAATAACAACCAACATAGTTACTTGAAATGTCTGGACAGAGTGAGAAATCAAGTGAGTAGCTGCAGGAATAAGAAAAAAGCAGGTAGGTGAAACTTGTTGGACACAGGCCGGGAAGAGAAGCTTAGTTTCGAGAGGAACGTTGTTAAATTCGTGTCAGGAAGAATAAAATACAGAAAAACGTGCTAGCACTTGCAGTGAAGATGTCTGGGAAAATATAAAAATCGTTTACAGAGTGTGGATTTCACCACTTCACGATTACCGAAGTATCCTTCAAAACAGAGAAGGAAGAGAGACTGAAACGATTGTCAGCCGGTTCAACAGGCTTATCAACGGTAGAGAGGGAGAGTACAATGACCAATTTTCTGACAGGCTAGAGTTCATCGTAGGAAAGTGTTCAACGAGAAAGCTGACTGTTCCGATGGGGAACCTCAAAAGCGAGACCATCAGCAGTGACGAACTGTGGGAGCATAAGAAACAGCTTCCAGATTAAGAGGAAATTACGATATGATGTTGGAGATGGATAAAAAACACTTTACTGCACCCATCAGACTGTATTACAAAGCAATCTCTAACCTGAAATATTCAAGTTAAAAAGGAAGGAAATAGACTGACCAACACTTGAAGCTGGTAATTGTAGGGATATAACAAGAGTATGGATGGTAATTAGCAACAACTGAAAAAGACATAGGAAAGGGTTATTCCGTGATTCTCTGTTGACAAACTCTGCACGCTGAGAGGTAACAGATTAATGTAAGTAATTATCAGACATTTTATCCGGTGCTGTTGATCATTTTTCTATTTATTCACTGGCTAGATAGTTCAGAACTTCGCCTGCAGCCCTTCTAAAATTACTGCTATTCCTAAGCCCGGATAAAGAAGGAGGATTGGTCTAGTGGTCAGCATCTCATATTGTAGAAAACGGCTCTAAGGAAAAAAGCGCTAACCAGAAAAAAATTATTAAGCCATTCAAACTGTGACCTGGAAATTGAAGGATCTTCATTAACAAGAATTATGAAGGCTCACTGTGAGAGTCGAGATTCTTTGAAAATGACAATGAAGAGAGATGCTGATATCCTGCTACATCACTACCTGGTTGTGGTGAAGATGAAACTGAAACTATAAACGACTGGGGAAACAGCATTACAAAGGTTCAATACAGTCTCACATTCATATTCTGACAAACTCATCGAATTCAAGATAACGCTCAACAACAGATTCCAAGTCATACATGATCTGCTGAAGGAAGAGAGAAAACACTTCTATGGATGACAACTGGAAGGAAATCAAAGAAGCACTGACTTCAATGTGTCAGGAAGTTCTAGGCTGCAAGAGGCAACATCATAAGGAATGGATCATCATGGAAAACCTAGACAGCATTCAAGAAAGAAAGAACAAGAAGACGGTAATTAGCAACAGTCGAACAATAACAGAGAAAGTGAAGGCACAAGCTGAATACACTGGCGCAAGCAAGCAAGTGAAGAGGAGCATTCGAGCTGTCAAGTAGAAGTACATGGAAGAGCTAGCAATGATAGTGGAAAATACTTCAAGAGAAGGAAATATGAAAGAACTGTGTCAGACAACGAAGAAACCATCAGGATAATATAGTAAACCAGAGAGAGCGGTAAAAGACAAAGAAGACAAGACAATCACTGAGATTGAAAAACAATTGGACAGGTGAGTAGAGCAATTGGAATAACTCTTAAAAAGATCAGCACTACTGAACCTATTGATCATAGAAGCAGAACACACGGATCTCCTTTTAGATGTCACTCCATCAACGATCGAATGAATCAGGATGGCCATGAGACAGATCAAGAGTGGGAAAGCGACAGGATCAGATGACATGCCATATAAAGCAGTGAAGTCAGACACAGGGGTGACTGCAAACATGCTTCACTTTCTAATCAAGAAGACTTGGTAGGAAGAAGAAGTACTGACAGATTGGAAAGAAGAATAACAGGCATATAATTATACCGAAAAAGTGGGATCACAGAGAGTGTGAGAAATAAAATGGCATCACATCATTATTGGTTTAAGGACGAGTTTCCAACAGAGTATTGTTGAAAGACTCAGTAGACTCTCAACTTCGAGATCAACAGGGCGGAATCCGAAAGGATCGATCGTTTGCAGACCGAATCACGACACTATGGATGATTGTTGAGCAATCAATTGAGTGGAGTTTGTCACTATACTTCGGCCTTTTCTTGACAACGAGAAAGCGTTTGACAGTGTGTATCGGAGAATTTCATGGACCCTTACTCGGCACTGTGGTGTACATAAGAGTATTATAGTTATCATCCTGAATTCGTACGACAGACTACACTGTGGAGTCGTGCATGGAGGACAGCTGATTGATGTCTTGCAAATGAGAACTGGTGTCAGACATAGTTGTCTGCTCTCCCCCCGACTTTTTCTTCTGGTGGTCGATTGAATTATGAATACCTACAAATTTCAGCTGAAGCACGGAATACAATGATCAGCTTGGATGAAACTAGATGAATGGACTTGTTAGATGATCAAATTTTTGTATATATATCGTTGACAGGTTTATTACTTACTTATTTACTCACGCCTGCTACCCCCCAATGGAGCATATGTCGCCGACCAGTATTCTCCAACCCACTCCGTCATGAGCCTTCTTTTCTAATTCCATCCAATTCTTGTTCATTTTTCTCATATCTATCTCCGTTTCCCGGTGTAATGTGTTCTTTGGTCTTCCTCTTTTCCGTTGGCCTTGAGGATTCCATGCATAGGCTAGCCTTGTGACACAGTTGGGTGCTTTCCTCAATGTGTGTCCTACCCAATTCCAGCACTTCTTCCTAATTTCTTCCTCCGCTGGGTTCTAGTTTGTTCTCTCCCACAGTTGGTTGTTGCTAATAGTGTCCGGCCAACGGATCCGAAGTATTTTGCGTAGACAACTGTGAATAAACACCTGTATCTTCTGAATGATGGCTTTCGCAGTTCTCCAGGTTTCCGCCCCATACAGTAGAACTGTCTTGACATTTGTATTGAAAATCCTGACCTTGGTGTTGGTTGACAGACAGTCGTTTTGAGTTGCAGATGTTCCTCAGTTGTAAATATGCTGATCTTGCTTTGCCGATCCGTGCCTTCACATCTGCATCAGATCCACCATGTTCATCAATGATGCTGCCCAAATATGTAAAGATTTTTACATCTTCCAAATCTTCTCCGTCAATTGTGATTGGATTGGTGCATGCTGTGTTGTATCGGAGAACCTTGCTCTTCCCCTTGTGTATATTGAGACCTACTGCTGCTGAGGCTGCTGCTACACTGTTCGTCTTCTCCTGCATTTGTTGTTGCGTTTGGGATAGAAGGGCCAGATCATCTGCGAAGTCCAGTTCGTCCAACTGCATCCTAGATGTCCATTGTATCCCGCGTTTCCCTTCAGATGTTGACGTCTTCATGATCCAGTCGATCAGCAGGAGAAAGAGAAAGGGTGAGAGTAAGCAACCTTGCCTAACAATGGTCTTCACTTCGAACGACTTTGTCAACTGTCCTCCATGCACGATTTTGCATTGTAATCCATCATATGAATTTTGTATGATATTGACTATCTTCCGATGTGCATCGTAGAGTCGAAGAAGCTTCCATAGTGCTGTTCTGTCCACACTGTCAAATGCTTTTTCGTAGTCAATGAAGTTGATGTAGAGTGATGAATTCCATTCGATTGATTGTTCCACAATGGTCCGTAGAGTTGCGATTTGGTCTGTACACGATCTATCCTCACGGAATCCTGAC